ACTTTTAAATTTATTAACCAAAATCTCTCTCTCCTCATCTTGGGGCCATTGGGATACAAATGATGCCCTAGCAGGGCTTCCAGTACATCCAGACCAAGGAGTCAACACGGTCTTCCAGGCGGATCTTGAGACCCCCTGCCCCTCATTTAAGATCAGATAGGCTGAGAGTTCTGTGAATCCCCGCTAGGTAGGGACAATGACCACTTTCAGCAGGAAGCAGATACAGAAGAAGAGACCTCCTGTCCCTCAACTTCCCATAGAGATTTATGGGCATCACGCCTCTCAGGGGAAAATGAGCAGACAGTTAGAGGCAGAAATTGGGTCTCCAACATGTCCAGACACACCCAGTAACGTCACATGGCTTATGGAGAGCGAGCACCCAGAATCCTACCCTCCCCGCCCAAATTTTCCTTATCTACCATAATCATCAACCACTATGAGGAAGCTAAAGGTTACAAAATACCTAACTAGATTAGACTGGTCACTCACACCTGCACAGTAAAGGCTACAATGACCTTCATTTCACCTTTGTCTCATTATACCATCATTGTAATATCATACATACGCCCCAACGTTTATTAATATCATTATTAACAGACTGAATTCTGGGAAGGAACATGAGCAGTCTGAAAAGATGAGGTAATAGCCTCCTGTCAATCATAAGTGCCAATCAAGAGAGGAGTAGCCCATTCTAGAAGAGAAGGAAATAAAAACTCCTAGCCCTCGCCAGTCAGTACCTTTTGAACCATTCTTTTGCTCAGGCCCACTCCTATCCCTTTGGAGCATACTTTCACTTCTAATAAACTGCCTTTTGGTGTCCTGCTCAATTCTTTGTTCAGGAACCGAGAACCTAGACACCATGCCAAGAAGGATCTGTTATCCAGGAACAGGGTTTTCGTGATCTTGGCAAGAGGATTTTCAACAAGGAGGTAAAGACAGCAGCATGATTCTAGTGAGTTCAAGGAAGAATGGGCCAAGAAGGCTTAGAGACAATGAATATAAACAACTCTTCGAAACTTTTGTTTTAAAAGAAGGAAATGAGATGGTAGCTGGAGGGAAATGTGGGCTCGATAGATTTATTTATTTTTTTAATGGGCAAAGTCACAGACTGTTGGTGTCTTAGTGTGTTTCAGTCACCGTAACAAAATACCATAGATCTGGTGGCTTAGGTTCATTTCTCACGGTTCTGGAGGCTGGGAAGTCCGAGATCAAGGTGCCGGCAAGGTAGGTTTCATCCTAGGCCTCTTCTCTTGGCTTCTAGGTGGCCACCACCTCGCTGTGTGCGCACATGACCTGCATACACAGGCAAGAGGGCAAACTCTCTCTTTGTAACAACACTAAATCCATCATTGAGCATTCTGCCCTCATGACCTCATTTAACCCTAATTACCTCCCAAAGGTCCGATCTCCAAACATCACCACATCTGGGGTTAGGGCTTCAACATATGATTTTGGGGTGTGGGAGGGACACAAACTCTCAGTCCATAGCAGCGAGCATGTGAGTGGGATGACCCAGCAGAGATGATAACTGAATGTAGTGTAGCCGAGTCCCTGTGATTTTAATGCCCCTAGGATTTTGGCAGCTAGAATTAAATAATTCAATTCTTAATTAGGCCTTTGTTCACCGCTCTTCTAGCTCAACTCCTTTTGTTCTCATAGTATAATTTTATGTGTGCTCTTTCTTTGTCCAGCAGGAAAGGATAACTTCAGGGTCTTGAGGAGAGTTTGTCTTGCAGGAGAGAATTGTCTCCAAAGTAACGACCAGCTGCTGGCGCCCAGGAGTCTAATGTGAAAAAGTGTCATCTATGACTAAAGAAACAGATTTCTCTCTCAGTCCCCCCGGAACCCCCCCTCCACTTTCTCCCCTTAAACACCCTGCCCCAACTTCTCTCTGGGAGCCTGACCCTCTCACCTGACCCTTTTCCTTTCTCGGTGTTGGTTCCCTTGTGCACTGGCTTAATAAACCTTTGCCTCTTGCTTGAACTTTTCTGTGGGGATCTCTCTTGATTTACATCCTGGAAGACTGAGCAAAGATACTGGCTGGAAGTGAGGGTGAGGAAGAAAGCAGTGGTACAGGGGGGAGGGGGAGAACAGCAGAAGCAGGTGCCTCGGGAAAGCCAGGTTTCAGGGAGAGCTAGGATGGAAAGAGACTAGGAAAGACGTTGGGGAAACAATGGGTTTTGCTGGTGATAAACTTGAAGTTCCAAATGGCACGGAGAGTCCTAGGAGGTCCCAGAAGGCCCAGTAGAAGGGTTTTGGGAATTAGTGAGGAGTAAATCTACTCTGGCTGATTTAAGTAGAGAGTATATTTAATGACAGCATAATGATGAGGCCCTTTGGGAGCTTGGAGAACCAAGCTTGAAAAACAAGCATAGCCAAGGCCAACACCAAAACCACACCACAGAACCAGACTTGTGAGGACACTGCTGCTGCTACTGCCCCTGAGTGCTAAGGCCACGGGCCCTGCACCATCCCTGTCAGCTGGGGCCCCTAGATACTGCTGCTGCCCCCAAACTGCCCACCAAAACCCTTCTCCTCTGTCCTTGTCCCCCTCACCACCTCCTGTTGTAAAGTCTGGGCCGGGTGCCTCTGATTTGCTGAGCCTAGCTCGTAAGCCTTCACCCCAGCTTAAAGGCAGGCTGGGAAGGGGAGCACATGGTATCAAAGTGGCACTTCTTTCTACTGAGATCCATAAGGTGAATATGTCTCACAGGCTTCTTATTTGCAAACACAGAACTTCCTTTGGGCCATATAAGCAGAAAGGGGTTTCTTACAGGATGGTGGTAGCTCACAGAATTAGAGAGGACAGGAGAAGCAGGCTTGGAAACTACACAGCCAAGAACAATGCCAGGACAGCAAACCGTGTGATAGCAAATGAGGACAAAGCCACCACTGTGCCACCCCATCTACACCAAGGACACCCAGGACTAGACTGGAGAAGCTCCATCTCAGCCTCCCCAGAAAAACTAGATGCTTCTGCTACTGTCATCTCTGGAAGAAATTTCCAGTCACACAGTTGTTGCTTCAGGTTGTTCATTTCCATACCCAAATCTCAGGCAAAGACGCTTATTGGCAGAGCCCGTGCCATGTAACCAGCATTAAGGGAGCCTGGGAAACGTGGTGTTAGTGGAGTAGACCTTGAGAAGGTAGAACTCAAAATGTGAGAACTATCAAAGTAGAGAGAAGATGTTTGAAGGATGCTGTGCATCTCTAAATGACAGATGCCCACTTCAGGGCAGAATTTTCCAAATGTAGATGTTGGGCAGCCAAAATAAAAAAGGTAAATAAGAAAAATGACAAGTAGCTACCATACATATTCCTAGTCTCATTCCTCTCATTGCCCCAGAAGCAACTGGCAAATCCTTCATCATTCCACTAAAATGGAAGCTTCTTGGTAGTCCCTATTTTTGTCTGTTTCGTTTACCAATGAATCCTAAGCATATTGCAGGTGCTTAATCCATATTTGTTGAATGAATGAACGATATTTTATTTGCTGCAGTAATGAAAGACAAAGCTTCAGGTGGAATGTGGGTTCAGAAAACTGCCAGGGGCAACTTCAATTTAAGCTTGATTCAAACGCCAATCGCAGGAAAAGCAGTCGTACAAACTCCTCTCCCAGCCATTAGGAATTAAACAGAGTTTTCAAATAGGGTTGGAAAACCAAGGCCTAGCAGGAGGCGGGAAAGGGGTGGCAGTGGCAGGAAATGCCAAACGAAACCTAATGAGTTCACTGTAACTTCAATACAAATTTAGTGATTGACATCAGATCCAACTTCTATATGAGCCATGTTGTATGATTCCATGCTATCAACCAAAACATACTTTATGAATATGAAAATTAGCAGACATAAGGGTTAGGATATACATTTCAAAAAGATGCTGAGTTTCCATAGCCCAGCTGAAGTGAGCTCTTATCTTGCTGTACCTTGGGTGGCAGAATACAATGGGAAAGTGTGACACGTGACAAGTGGACCACAGTAAAATGCAATTGAGACCTCTAGTCCTTGCCTAAGCAATTCAGCCGCAAAGTTCTGTAACTCACAAGATATTATAAAATATTCCAGACAAGATCAATCTACTGGTTTACCGCCCCTGAAGAAAGGTCCATGTGATAGCTTTAGTTTCCTCGTAACCACAGATAATTCCCATCTTAAAGAAGAGTCTCATTGTCTAAGTTTCTTATTTTCCTTCTCAAACGAGGGATTTATAAAACCCAGTTCTGTATGTGTGTCCTTCCTCTTTGCTTTGCTCCTTTTACAAGCATATATACGTATTCATAAACGGCACTGCACCAGTCAGGCAACAGAAACCACTCTCGTTATTTTAAATAGAGATTTAATACAGGAAACAAGGAGCCCACAAAACCTTTGAAAGGAACGCTGAGAGCTCCAGGCTGGGTTTTTAAGAAAGACTTCCAGAGAACACACCACTGACCCAGAAGCTGCTGCCTCCGCCCCAATCAGCTGACCACCACTGGAGTAAGTTCAAGAACACACAGTGAGGGATCTGTAAATAGAAGTTACCAAATCTACAAAAGAAGGCCAACAAAGCTATTACTTTACTGGATATGTCAACCAAAGCGGATGTAGAAGGATCCCAACATTGAGTGAAGAAGCTTTTGGATACACACACACACACACACACACACACACACACACACACGAAAGGCTGGCAAGCTTGCATTAAGCGGTCAGCGGGTCCCAGTGCCTGGGTCCGCCTCTTCAAGTACCCACTGTGGGTACTTTGGACTTTCATTTTAGGTGGCAGAAGGCGTTTCATCCGGTGGCGATTCTAGCCCCGAGTCGCCCGGAGGCGGTGGAGCTGGAGTCCGTGCGAGTGCGGGTACACCAAAGAAAGGAGCGTCGGGTGTGACGCGACTCGGGCGAGACCAGAACAAGGGACGTAACCAGGGGTGGCCAGGCGACGTGTTCGGGTGAAGTTCAGAAAAGGGGCGGGGCTGAGGCCGAGGCTAATAAGTGGGAGTGGCCAGGTCCAGGGCAGGGGGCGGGGCGGGGCGGAGGCGGACTCGAGCTGCACAGCTTCCGCAGCGTGCAGCTCCAGTTCTGCTCCCAGGCTTCGGTGCACCAGCCCTGGACGCCAGCTTCCTCTGTGGGAAGCCTGGAGGCTGCCATGGCGCTGCGTGCGGTCGTGTTCAACCTGGACGGGGTCCTGGCGCTGCCATCGCTCTCCACCACCCTTGGCCACATGGCGGAGAAGTTGGCGCTGCCCAGGTGAGGGGACCCGGCGCCCGGCCTGCGTGGGTGGATCGGCGCAGCAGAGGGTGGGTGGGACTCCTGCCGAGAAATTCCCTTTCAGGACTTCCAGCCCTGGTTTCAGATTGCTGTAGTTCGAGAGCCCTGCGAAAGGTTAAAACAATTACCCGGCCCTAAAATACCAGTGTGTGTAAGTAGATACATTGTCTTTCTAAATGCTAAGTAATTAAACTTCGCCAAGGACTCCAAAATTGCCCTCTGTAGTAAAAGCTTTTCCTAAAGTGAGAGGAATTACTCGCCAACCGGGCAGCTACCCGCCTATCTTAAAATAAGAAAATACCTTCCCTTGGACATTTTTGTGAGGGTTAAATTAGATAACAAGTAAAGTGGATGGGCAGCTGAACTGTTTGCCTGATACATTTCTCCCTTTCTTTTTCTTTCCTTCTTTCTTTCTTTCCTTCCTTCCTTCTCTTTTTTTTAATGTTTAATTCAATTTTATTTAAATAACTAAGCATTGAAAACTTTACAAAAATGTGAATTATCTTAAATTGGTTAAGGTTCTTTCCCTTTTCTTTCCTTAAAAGGTCTAAGCATGGGTGGGTCTTTTGTAGACACACCTATTTTTATTGTAAGGGGCAAGTGATTGATTCTCTCTCAAATCAACTTTTTCTAAACAGAAGTCCCTATATATAAATGTGACCAGTAATGTTAATTTATGTGATGGTGTTAATTTTCAAAAACATCTTTAGTAAATAAATAAAGGGGGGATGTAAAATACTGTGACTGGCTTGGTGAATTTTAATTGCGAAATTTCTACTTTCGAAACTTCCTTCCTGCTGCATTTGCTGCTTTTTCAGCCATGATCTCTGAGTACTTCTTTCGGTTATATCTTCTGATCTCAGAATCAGCCAGCAGTTCTTCCACAATAGTTTTCTTCCTTTGTTTCTTGGGAATTCGTGAATAGTAGAAGTCAGCTGGATTGTCAACAGTGGTTCCAATCTGGAAGTACTTAGGGAAGCCATCCCTATCATTTTTCTTGTAAAACCTTTTTGGGTCCATGCCAGCTCTCATCTTCAGTACTTTGAGGTCATTTTTTAGTTCACCTGTCCATTCTGGAGCTTTCATACCAAACCAGCCATCACCTGCTGTTTCTTTCTTTTTTTAAATTTTATTGGGGAACAGCCATGGTTATTGATTACACATTGCTTTCGTGCTACAATGGCATAGTTGGCTCTTTTAGGGAGGGTGCAGCTCACAGTGGCCCATGCAGGACTCGAACCAGCAACCTTGGTGTTAGCACCATGACTGAGCTAACCCGTCACCCCTGATATATTTCTTTATTTACAAAAGTCTCATGTATATGCAAAGTGATGCATTGGGCATCTTTTATTTATCTAGTGTTGCACAGACTCACCTAACTCACATACTCCCTCTTACCGTGATTAGGATTGTTCCCAGCAGCCAAAATCTGGTCATAGCAAAGCTAGCTGATCTCAGGAGGTCAGAGCACATGACCCTTGTCGGCCTGTGGAGTTGAACCAACCATGAAGTCATTAATTCAGCGGAAGGTGAGCCTGAAGGGCCCGTTTCCACTTGCTTGGCATCTGGTAATGAAATCTCAGACATCCACAGACAGCCCACGTTCAGGATGAAGGCAATGCCGGAAGAGGCACAAAGCTCTTAGGTGGTTCAAAGAAGGGAGAGATTAGGTCTGATCAGGAGAATCAGGAAAGCCTTAATCGAGGCAGACCCTGAGAAGACTGATAGGAGGCTGATGGGGAGAGATGCGAAGGGAGAACTTTCCAGGCGAGGGAACAGCAAGAGCAAAGGCCAGGAGGTGGAAAGCATGGAATGTGCACAGGAACACCAGATATTCTAGTGTAGCCAGAGGAGGTGAGTTGCGAAAGAGAAATGGGAAAGTTGGTTGGGCCTACATTGCAATGTGACATGAAAGTCACGCTGAGCATGTACCTGCTTTGATAGCCAGTGGCTCTCTGAGGCATTTTGAGATGGGTTGGACAGGGAGTCAAATAACTGGTGCTCTAACTCAAAGTAGCTGATTGTTGGGGTGATGGATCAAGTACCTTTGGTAAGAGGAAAGAGGCTGCCACTCACAGTACGTAAGATCCGAGAGGTTGGCAGCTTGGAGGTGGAGCAGTGTGGATTGATGGAGAAGCCTGATGGAGGTTGGAATTGAAGCCAACACGACCTTCTTGAGCTAGGAGTTTGCAGGGCTGTTGGCATGGAAGATGGAGAACCTGGGCTGCGGGGCCCAGGGGAGGACAAAGGAAGCCTGGAAGCCTGGTGCTGAAACCTTGAGGGGAGGGAGCAGGTGAGGGACCTGCATGACATCTGTAAATACCTGCCTGAGGACAAGATGATGGGGGCCCAAGTGGCAGTCACGAGCTCCAGAAGTAGAGATTGTTGAAGACTTAGGGTGGACCAGGGAGACGCTGCTTCTTCCAGCATCATACAATGGAAGGAGGGAACGAAGAGAGAGAGGAAGGGCTCCACTCTCAGTCTGGTCATCCAGACCAGGGTCCTCTGAGAGTTAGGGTGCTGGAGATGGTGCTAACCTCAGCAACTGAGGCTGACATGACCTGGAGGAGCCAGAACAGTTCCCTGAGATCCAGATTTGATGTGTGCGCTTCATTTAGTACCTCTCACACAGCTTCATTGTGGAGGGTCTGCCCCGTGCCACTGGAGTGAACATTAGGGGTGGTAAAGTGTCAATTTCTTACGAAAATATATATTTTAGAACCTGAGTTGCTTTCCATATGCAATGCTCACTAAATGTTTTTTGAGTAAAAGACACAAGTGATCAGCAAATACAGTGTTTGAGAACCAGGATTTCTTATTCATGTCTTGTTTACTATTTCAGGACATATTTATTGAATGCTTCCAGGAGCTTCTGGGTCTGTGGTTGCTTTTTGTAACTCCGGGTTTTTGTGTACTCTTTGAAACAGAGAGTACATATTAATATACTTTAAAATATATATATTACATATGGGTTTTAATTACGTGAATAGTACTAAAGTACATTCTTATTATGAAATATTCAAATGAATGAAATCATGGAAAGAAGGAATTGCAAATTCTTCTTCACCATTCCCTGTTCCTCTCCCATCCCAGACATAATTGTGATTGATACACTATCCCAAACCAAGGTTTTTTTGTTTTGTTTTGTTCTTCTTTAATTCTTTAGCAGCAAAACCTGACCTAACTTCATTTGATCACAAAATCTGACCTGACCTCATTTAGTAGCAAATCCAAGTTGAGCAAACATGTGGGTATTTATCACCATTATCTGTCCTACTACTGTAAATAGAACTGTCCTACAGTTCGAAGGAAGTGGCTGTTCTCATATTAATCTCCAATTTTTATTTGCCACTATGGTGAAATGACCAAGATTGAGCTACATTTGAGAAGAGTTCAGAGGAATGGAACTGAAGGAAGTCAGGAGCTATAACTACAAACCATAGTCCTGTATGCTTTCAACTGATGGCATTTAAAAATCATACAACTGAATCTTGCTACACATATAAACGAATGTTAGAGAAAAAGAAAACTATTTACATCCACAGAAGTAACCGAATCATACTGGGATTTACAAAGAGACATGATCTGTTTACCTTGTAACTAGTTGTTTGTGAAATTGTAATGGTTAATAGAACGAAATTTTTATGAACATAGTACTAATGTGTACCGAATTATACCAATTAAGTAAACATCTCAAATTTCTAAGGGTAAAACCCCAATACCCCCAAATTTCTAAGTGTTTATATCAGTGTCAACCTGGTTTCACCTACATGTTACCCCATTTAGGTGCCTCGTTAGTGCAGTAGGTAGCACTTTAGTCTCATAAATGTTATCCCGTTTAGAAGAGATTTTAAATATTCCTCCCCTTTGAAAACATCATCATACTTTCAGAGGTGGAAAAGGAACAATTCAATTTCTTTATCATTTTGTCATGAATCTGGTACTAGTTTTAATGTAGTATTTAGGCTAAGGTAGGTGCTGTAAAGAATGCAATGAATTGAATTTTCTAGATTTAGAAATTACAAAATACCGGATTATTGCTGGTATTGTCCAATAAACCCATTTGCCAGAAAGCCATGTCTCTGGTTGAAACATTTCCTGTATCGGTGATTGAGAAGTTAAGATCAGGTGCCAATGAAGTCTGATTGTTCCCTAATTGTCAGATAACAGTTTGATCTTTGCTATTAAATTACACTTTCTTAGTGACTAGGACCAGACCTCATTTCTTTCCTGTATCCTCTATAGCACCTACTGAAATGTTGTGGGCATGAATATCATTTTGGTGGATGGTAGCTGGAAGGATTTTTCTTTCTACCTCAAAGAAAAACACCAATCCATCACATGGCATACTTTAAACTCCAGTAACACAATTTACAGAATCATTAACCTTTAAAATTAAAATATTCAACTTATTCTCTTTGACATCACTTAAAATGCACTTCATTTTTTAAACATTGGCTTGAGGTGGAAGAAATTCAAATGGAAGTAATCTTCAAAATACTGAACTCCAGTCAATGCAGTTAGCCCCAAGAGTGAAGTAAGAAAAGATACAGCTTAAGGTACTGGGAAAAGGGTAATACATATTCTAAACTATTCATAAAGATCAAACACAACAGGTTTTTTTTTAGCCATCAATTTTTACTTTACTGTGTTGCTCTAAATCACCTCAATTGAGATGCAGGTCCTGCCACTTGGAGAACTGATCAGATATCAATATGAGGGTCAAAAATCCTTCTAGCAAGATAAAAGGAAATAATTCGCATTTAAAGTAATATACCTTTCATAAAACAATCAGTACATTTTTCTACCAGAACATTCAAATTTGGCTTCATTGACTGGTCAGAAATAAGGGACAATGCATGTAAGTCCAAAACAACTTCTTCTACAAGGGAAACGTAGGGCTGCAATTTTTCCCTGGTAACTTCCCCCTGAGGTGGTAGATGAAATGACTCAAATGTCAACTTCAATAGCAGAGAGGGGGAGCGTGCTGAATAGTGCTGTTTCCTGATATAGTGGCTGTACAGAGCGGGGTTCTACAGTGGTCAGGGTTGAAATAGATGCAGCTGGATTTAAGGCATTTAAGATATAGGTAGCAATGCGATAAGGGGTGACTAGGCACTAACTCAGTTGTAGGATGTGGTTGGGTCTTATCAGGAAAGTGGATGTGTGTACGTTGGTCAATGTTATAGGACGGTTATGTAGACACAAGGGAAAAGAGACGTCTTTTAAACAGCTTAACCTGATGAGTCTCAGGAGGAGGTAGTTGTTTTATTTATTTATTTATTTATTTATTTATTAGCTGAGCCATCCTGCCACCTGTTGGCAGCTCAGCGGCAGCTCAGCTCGGGCCAGACTCGAACCGCTGTTGCTCAGAGCTCAAACCTTTGAGCGAGCTCTTAACCAGCTGAGCCACTCAGCTGGCCCAGGAGGAAGTAGTTTTATCAAATCAACAGTAAAGCTAGGGATGGTCAAGAAACTGCTAACAGAGATAACTACGGGGTTATCTGAGGCAGGCATCGGAAGGCAATCCAGCACTCAGGTTCCACGAGGAGGCTAAGCACTATAGCATACTACTTCTATGCTAAGGTTTCCCATATTCAAGGATTAAAACAACATTTAGGAGGTAAGGTATAGTTGAGGGTTAATGATAGGGAATAACTTCATCTAAACCATAGGGAAGGTGACTGGCTTATCTGAGAGGGTTAAGGTTAATAAAATACCCAAGAAATAAATGTTATAGCAACTATGAAATAAACAAAAGAAGTATGCATAGCGGGAGTTGACTTGACTACCGAGTCCAAGATCCTGGGAAAAGCCTTATGCTTCAAATACCATCTCCTTTTTGTCTGAGCAGTTGTCTGCTCTGGATAACTTTAACTTGAGGTCTCTGATAGGCTGGGGTGTTCAGGTGATGGGGTGCAAGTGTGGGAGCCTTTTAGAATGAAAAACACAAATTCATGGATGAATACCTTTTAACTTTGGGATGCAGAGTTTAGTTAACAATACCCAGCCTGGTTCCTTCCCGTGAGGCTGGAGGGAGTCCTTGTGGGGACATCCTTTTCCATGGACCGTATCGCCAGGTTGTAGACCATGATGTTTGATGTCTTCATCTCCCAGAAGCATGCTGTGAAAAGATTCCTCTGCGAGTTTGTATTTATTTCAAGAGCCTTTATAAGTTTTTTTGCAATAATTCAGGTGGTCTTCTTAATCAGGCAGGTTCGTATATTCCTTGACATAGGTCTTCTGGTAATGATTTTTAAAAGGGGACAATCTATGTTTACCAAAGGGAATAGGTCTTAGGTTAAGCAATACCAATGGAAGGGATTTAAGGCCAAGGCAGGTTGAGTTTCAACACGTTTCACCAATTGAATTTTAACGACCTTATCACTTTGTTATAAAAACCAGAGGACTGGAGATGATAAGCACAAAGGAAATACTGCAATATTGGCCAAGCTTTGCATACCTGGTATAGAATTTGTCTTGTAGAGTGGGTCCCATGATCGATATGGAGCTCTGTGGGGATTTTCCAGGTAGGAAAAACCCTTTCGAGAAGTATTTTAAAACTGCTGTGGTTGTAGTCATGTGACATGGGGATGCTTCTACCAAATGAGAATACACACAAATCATCATTAATACATTTTTATCCTTGAGGGAGGAGCAATTGGATTGAAATCCACTTTCCAAAGCTCAAATAGGCCTAATTAGTTTCATTTCCCCCTTTTCTTCATAGTGACCATTAAAGACTTCACAAGCAATTACAGAAAGTTAAGTGGTTGGGAGCAAAATTTAGCTTTCTTAATATTAAGAAGGTTTGGTTTACCTAAGCAATCGAAGACCTGTTGATACAGAGCACCGGAAATAATTTTAATAAAACATAAAATCTTTTCTTTCCCTTTATAATTTCCTAATAAGAGCATACCAATACTATTGGAAAACTTTTGTCCTTTTAACAGAGTAATAAAGCCAAATTCCAATTCTGTGTTAAGTAAGACCATTCCAATCTTGGTTAGTTTGATCATATATAAGATTTTTTGTTTTTTAATTCCTTCTCCATGAACCTTCTGCAACATACACAACCCTTCTGCAACTTCAAAAGACTTTTCAGCTTTTGTCCTGTCTTTTTCTTTTCTTATTCTAGAACAATCATTTTACTCTAAGACTGTCTTTATACTCAAATCATTCTCGTTTCCTTCAACAAAAATGCATTTCCATCTCTTATACTTTCTTTTACCCAGCACACATATCTTATTCCCTATGTACAGTCATCTTCACCTGTAGTCACCATATCCTCCTAATCAGGCTTCGTCACAAGTGTCTGGATCTTAATCTAGGCATCTGGTGCCCATCTAACCTTGTAAAATGACACACAAAGCTCTCCGAACTTATTATGATAGCTTTCCATCTGTTCTGCTAGCCCAAAAGATTAATTCTAGATCACGTGTGCTTGAAAAGGAATTTGGTTAGTTTCTGTTATTTTTCCAGTCGTATGAGTGCTCATTTATTTTAAGCCAATTGAATAAGGTTCCTTTATAACCCAATTTTGAAATTACAAATCAATTTTTGCAATACCATCCAATGGTAGAAATCTGCCATATCTGTAACATACATATATAGACAAACATACGGATAAACATAAACAAAGATCTCCTAGCTTTCATTTTAAAATGCTAGCTTTTTTTTTTTTTTTTAAAGATTTTTATTGGGGTATTGGGGGGATGGGAACAGTGCTGGGGAATTGGGGGAAGGGGAACAGACAAGTTGCTGTCGTTTTGTTCTTCAATCTAGTTGTGGAGGATGTTGCTTCACTGGCCCAAGTTGGCACCATCATTGCACTCTTCTCGGGCGAGGCAGATCAGTCGCCGGCTTCTGGACAGCCGCTCACTGCGGCTGCTGGCCGCTCACGCTGGCTGCTGGCCGCTCACGCTGGCTGCTGGCTACACACGGTAGCCCATGGCAATCCACTGCCACAGGGACTGCAGCCCACGCCGTCGCCGGCGACTCAGGGCAGCCCAGCTCCAGGTTGAGCTGTTGTTCAGCATCTTAGCTGTGGAGGGCAGTGTCACTGGCCCTCACATGTGGGATCCGAACCGGGGCCCTCTGGCATCCCAAGCGAGTTCTTAACCATCGCGCCACTCGGCCAGCCCTTAAAATGCTAGCTTTTGTGTTCTGGGCATAATAACAAAATTCAAAAGAAAAACTGGATCTAAATTATGTTTTCTGGCAGATGGACTAAGTGAAAGTTTTGCTCAGATGCCCAAAGTTTTTACATACTGTAAGAATTTCTTTAAAGCTGTTTTTAAAATGAGAAACTACATTTCATTGTCTCTGAGAAACCATCTGTGCAGAATCAAAATCAGAAAAAATGTTTCATTGCTTTTGAAGACTACGAACTATTTTCATTCTTTTTGGAGCAATGCCTTGTGCAAATGAAAACAGTAATGAACACACGCCCAGTCTTAATTTTGTCCCTTAAGTGGCAAAGCAGGAAGCACGTCCAGTTGAAAACGCTCTGCTGGGTGGTCCCCCATGAGCCACTTCACCTGTGAGCGTATTTATCTTTTAGCTTGTGATTTCATGTCCCCAGCTTGATTGCAAACTTGAACTTTGCATTTCCCATCCGTGACAGAATGCCTTTCTATTAGCAGTTTGTCCATGGATATAAATAAATAGTGTCTGCCCCCTATGTGCTACCGTGATGAAGTCAGTGAAATATTCATGATGTTGTTTCTTTGTGACTTCCAGAGGTTTTCTGAATGAAGCTTTCAACAAAGGAGGCCTGGGTGATTCCAGTAGCCGCCTCATGAGGGGAGAGATCACATATTGCCAGGTAAGGGGACACCTCCTAGACCCCCTTGAGAAAGCATTCTATGCCTACATGCCTATCTCCCGCACCGACCATAGCCCTCTGAGGGCAGAACCATGTCTGCGTTATCCATCTCCCCCTTACGGCACTTCACTCACAAGATGGGGCTGGAGGCCTTGCAACATGCGGTTACGTTCTTATTGTTTGGTGCCAACCAGAGGGACAGACTCCAAGGATTGGGAAATTTTCAAACTTCTGAAGATCAATGCTAGGGAATTATAACAGCCAGAGTAGCTTTTGATTGTTTTATTTAAATTGTGGTAAAATACATGTACCGTAAAATTTACCATCTTAAGTGCACAATTCAGTAGTGATGCGTATATTTACGTTGTATAACCTTCACCACCATCCATCTCCAGAACTCTTTGCATCTTGCAATACTAAAATTCTATAGCCATTAAACAGTAACATCCTGTTCACCACCCCCAACCCCATAATCACTACTGAACTTTCTGTCTCTTTGCATTTAGCTACTCTGCGTACCTTATGTAAGTGGAATCATGCAATACTTGTCTTTGTGTAACCCGCATTTCATTTAGCATAATGTTTTCAAGGTTTATCCACAGTGTAGAATGTGACAGGATTTCCTGCTTGTAGGAAGGAAATGATACCACGATAAAGGCTACTTAGGCTCCATTTGTCTTTTAATGTATACACCACATTTTGTTTATCCATTCACCTGTCAGTGGACACTTGGGTTGCTTCCACCTTTTGGTTATTGGGGGAAATGCTGCTATGAACATGGGCATACAAATATCTGTTCATTACCTTTTTTCAGTTCTTTTGGGTATATATCCAGATATGAAACTGCTGGGCCATATGATAGTTCCAATTTTAATTTTTTGAGGAGCCACCATACTGTTTTCCATAGCAGCTGCACCATTTTACATTCCCCCAATAACGCATAAGTGTTCCAATTTTTCCACATCTTTGCCAACCCTGTTATTTTCTCTCTCTCTCTCACTCTCTTTTTTTCTATGGTAGTCATCATTAGAGTAGCTATTTTCAGACAGGTTGGGGAAAGGGGGAGTTGTTAATTAATAACTATATAATGGGTGAACTTTGGGGTCAGAGATCAGGAATTGAATCATAGCTCCCACTTACAGACTGTGTGACCCCAACAAGAACCTCTCAAAGTGTTTTTATATCAGATTTTTGTTAAAATATAGCTATCATACAATATTGTATTAGTTTCAGGTATACGCTATAGTTATTCAACATTTATATACCTAAAGAAGTGATCACCATGATAAGTTTAGCAACCATGTGACACCGTATCACACTATCACAGTATTATTGACCATATTCCCTATGCTGTACATGCATCACTATGACTTGTTTTATGCCTGTAAATTTGGGCCTCTTATTCCCCTTCACCTTTCCTCCCCTTTTAAATTTTTCAATTACAGTTGACATTCAATATTATTTTATATTAATTTCAACTGTACAGCACAGTGGCCAAACATCTATATAATTTAAGTGATATCCCTGACTAGTCTAGTACTCACCTGGCACTATACATAGTTATTACCATATTATTGACTATATTCCTTATTCTATACCCTACATTCCCATGATTACTGTGGAACAACCAATTTGTACTTAATCCTCCTTTTAACAGAGTAATAAAGCCAAATTCCAATTCTGTGTTAAGTAAGACCATTCCAATCTTGGTTAGTTTGATCATATATAAGATTTTTTGTTTTTTAATTCCTTCTCCATGAACCTTCTGCAACATACACAACCCTTCTGCAACTTCAAAAGACTTTTCAGCTTTTGTCCTGTCTTTTTCTTTTCTTATTCTAGAACAATCATTTTACTCTAAGACTGTCTTTATACTCAAATCATTCTCGTTTCCTTCAACAAAAATGCATTTCCATCTCTTATACTTTCTTTTACCCAGCACACATATCTTATTCCCTATGTACAGTCATCTTCACCTGTAGTCACCATATCCTCCTAATCAGGCTTCGTCACAAGTGTCTGGATCTTAATCTAGGCATCTGGTGCCCATCTAACCTTGTAAAATGACACACAAAGCTCTCCGAACTTATTATGATAGCTTTCCATCTGTTCTGCTAGCCCAAAAGATTAATTCTAGATCACGTGTGCTTGAAAAGGAATTTGGTTAGTTTCTGTTATTTTTCCAGTCGTATGAGTGCTCATTTATTTTAAGCCAATTGAATAAGGNTAGCTGTAGAGGGCAGTGTCACTGGCCCTCATATGTGGGATCCGAACCGGGGCCCTCTGGCGTCCCAAGCCAGTTCTTAACCATCGCACCACTCAGCTGGCCCGCCCATGATTATTTTGTAGCTACCAATTTGTACTTCTTAATCCCTTCACCTTTTTCACCCTGCCCCCAAACCCCCTCCTATCTACCACCTTGATAAATCTAGTACCCATCTGACACCATACACAGTTATTACAATATTATTGACTATATTCCTTATTCTATACCCTACATTCCCATGATTACTGTGGAACAACCAATTTGTACTTAATCCTTTCCCCTTTTTCACCCACCCCCAGACTCCCTCCCATCTGGTAATCATCAAAATGTTCTCTGTATCGATGAATTTTTTTCTCTTTTGTTTATTTGTTCATTTTGTTCTTTAGATTCTACATACAAGTGAAATCACATTGCATCTGTCTTTCTCTGTCTGACATATTCCACTCTGTACAATATTCTCCAGACCCTTCCATGTCACCGCATATGGCAAGAACCCATTCCCTTCCATGGCCAAGCAATATTCCATTGTATATCTGTACTACCTCCTTGTTATCCTTTCATCCATCCAGGCTGTCCACCCAGGCTGCCTCTACATCTTGGCCATTATAAACAATGCTGCAATGAACATATGGATACACACGTCACATCAAAGTAACATTTTGGGTTTCTTTAGCTAAATAATCAGAATTTGGATTACTGGGTCCTTCTTTGTCTCTTGTTGTGGCCTTTGTTTTAAAGTCTGTTTTATCTGATAAGTATTGCTACCCCAGCTTTTTTTTTTTATTTCCATTTTCATGAAATACATTTTTCCATTCCTTTACTTTCAGTCTGCATATATCTTTCGATCTAAAGTGAGTCTCTTGTAGGCAGCATATGTAAGGGTCTTATTTTCTTATCCATTCAGTTACCCTATCTTTTTATTGGAGCATTTAATCCATTTACATTTAAAGTAATTGTTCATAGATATGTAGTTACTGCCATTTTATTGTTCTTTTTCTTTTTGGTCTTAAAGAAGTCCCTCTAAGATTCCTTATAATCCTGGTTTAATGGTGAGGAACTCCTTTAGCTTTTTCTTGTCTGGGAAGCTCTTTATCTCTCCTTTAATTCTAAATGATAGCTTTGCTGGGTAGAGTAATCTTGGTTGTAGGTCCTTGCTTTTCATCACTTTGAATACTATTTTGTGCCAGTCCCTTCTGGCCTGCAAAGTTTCTGTTGAGAAATCAGCTGACAGTCTTATGGGAGCTCCCTTGTAAGTAACTAACTGCTTTTCTCTTGCTGTTTTTAAGATTCTTTCTTTGTCTTTAACCTTTGGCATTTTAATTATGATGTCTCTTGGTGTGGGCCTCTTTGGGTTCATCTTGTTTGGGACTCTGCGCTTGCTGGGCTTGTATGTCTATTTTCTTCTCCAGTTTAGGGAAGTTTTACTTTAATCACCTCTTTAAAGACCCTGTCTCCATGGACAGTCACACTCTGACGTCCTGGGGGTTAGGACTTCAACAATAATCTGGGGAAGAGCGCACAGTTCAGCCCATGACAGGGACGTTTGAGTGTTTTCTGGTGTGAGGCTCTGAGGGATAGTGCTGCTGTGAATTGCTAAACCACAGAGACTGCATATGTTCAGACTTAGTAAATGCTGCCAAAAGCTTTTCCAACTGGTTCTACCAATTGACAACCCCTCAACATTTTATTTTCACAGTGGGTGCCACTCATGGAAGAAGACTACAGGAGATGCGCTGAGGACTCTGGGATCAGCCTTCCTGAGAATTTCTCTGTGAATCAAATCTTTGGCGATGTAATTTCAGCAAGAAAGATCAACCGCCCCATGCTTCAGGCAGCTATCACTCTCAAAAAGAAGGGTAAGGACCTAACACTGGCCATTTGCTGACCCAATCCCACCAAAGCCCTTTGGAGGATTAGGTCAGAATACATCTAAATGTGTTTTGGGGTCGCAGATCTTCTGGGTTTTAATAGAAAGCTGTTTTTAAAACATAGCCCCAAAGTAAGTTTTACCAAATGGCAGAAAAAAAACCCCAGCACTATCAATAGCTGAGAAATGAACAAATTTTATTTAGTAAAGTGATTTATGCCAGAGACTGCCTTGTGAGCAAAATTCTCTCCCTCTGATGACACTAGTAATGACCCGAATGACATAACTTCTTGTCAAAGTGATTAAAAAACAAGGCCTGTTAAGTAACTATGATTTTCTCAATGTCTGGTTGTCAGAGTAATGAGCTGTGCGCTGGCTGACGTGGATTCCAATAGTGTCAAATGGTCTACAACATGAGATCATGTTCATCCAATAGGCATTTATGTAGTGTCAGATCCCAGCTCTTCTTCACAAGTGTATTTGAAATCATTCCATCCAGTTATCAGTAGACTAAGCTGACTGAGGCTAAGCCATCCCGTGGCCATATTTCTCACTCATGTGTAAAAGGGTCACTCCATCCACTCATCTGTGTCTTGTTTCCAGCATCTCCTGGTTCTTGTCCTCTCTGGTTAGGCAGAGAAAGCCAGGAGATAATGCTATCCCTATTTACGTTTCTCTAGGTTTGAAATGGCCATGCAGTCTTTGACAGCCAAAACAGGTGTTTTGAAATCCAGCCAAGCAGAGCTTGCAGTAACATAGACTAGAAAGACTACTGGAGTGGCAGTCTGAAGGCAGGATTCTGGGGCCAGCTCGGCTCTGCCTTCACTGTGTGAGTTGAGCAGCTCGTCCTGTGTCTGAGCCTCTGGTTTGCTCATCTGTAGAAGTGGGATGGTAAGATCGACCTGCCTACCCCAAAGGTGGTGATGATCAAATGAACTAATGAGTGCCACAACCTCTTGCTCTGCAGTCTCTAGCTAGGCTTCTGAAAACCCTTAATGTACACAATTGGCTCACTCTCATGTCATATCAGGAGGTGCTTAAAGACTTCTTTAAAGACCTTATCTCCAAATACAGTTGCACTCCCAGGTCCTGGGGGGTTAGGACCCTTTTCCAGCTTGTCAATGTAGAAGCAAAGCATCAGGAGACTGATGTAAGAGAGCAGAACCCCACTCGGCCCCCTCCTTGGGGACCCCTATGTGACACTCAGCGCTTCTCAGAGCAAAGTTCTGTAGCTGGTTCATTCACTGGTGACATCCTTATCAGGATTTACAACGTGCATCCTCACCAACAACTATCTGGACGACAGTACCCAGAGAGGCCACATGGCCCAGCTGATGTGTGAACTGAGGCCGCACTTTGACTTCCTGATAGAGTCATGTCAGATTGGAATGGTCAAGCCTGATCCTCAGATCTACAGGTTCACGCTGGACACCTTGAAGGCCAGCCCCAAGGAGGTACGTGGATGCTGCTTTTCAGTGGAGATATTGTACTCAGGAAACGTTGAAAAGGATCGAGCAGTTGAGGGATGCCTGGGCCCTGGCAGGACCATTCTAGGTCCAGTGGCAGGCTCCACTTCTCCAAGGCCAGGACTTCTAAAGGACTTTCACCCATCCCTTCAGTCTAGAAAGTTCTACCAGAGGTGGGCATTGGGCTCCTCTCTGTGGCTCTTACAGAACCTTGATCAAAGTGGGTATTTTCAAAGTTTCTAGACCAGATGCCTCACACATCAACCCCGAGAGACCTTCCCAAGACCACTAGGCTAGTTAGGATTCCCCACCAAAGGGTGAGCAGGAATGGGCTCCAATACTGCAGCAGTCTCTTTGTAGGTACCCCTGCACCCCTAAATTCTGTTTTCATACTGTCTCTAGATGATCTATTCTAACATACTTTTTTCATTGTGTTCCCCGACTCAGATCTTCAAAAAGGTGATTGGACCAAGATTAAATACCTTTCCCTGACAATTCTCACCCTTTTTTATTGGCCTCAACCTTAACTCACAACCCGATCGCATGAAACCCTGAGCTCCATCATTGGAAATCCATACCAGGCTCAATAATACCAGGATTTTTTCTTTCTCCTCTTAAACTTTGCTTCTTCCCTTCTGGATTAAGCATTATAACAGAACTCTAAATTTTAGAATGCATATCAGTAAACATCTTTTCATTTATAGCTTTTGGGTTGGATAAGCTGCTTAGGTGTCTAGGCCTGCCCTAATCCAAGATTATAAATAAATGCACCCATGCTTTCTTTTACAACTCTAAGGACTTATTTCCCTTTCTTTCTATTAAAATTTAAACCTTCGATCCATTCAGAATTCATTTTGGGGTAAGATGAAGAAAGGGCCCACTTTTTCCTTCAAACAGTTAAAATAATTAAACACTCTTTTAAATATCTTTTCCCTCACTGATTAGACATGACACTTTTATTAGAAACTAAATTGTCATTTGTATTTGGATCTATTCCTCAACTCACTTTCATTGATGTGTCTATTTCTTTTCTAGTGCCAAACTTTTTTTTTAACCCGTCTTGGCTTAATAATATGCTTTCTTATTTGCCCTTTTACAGTTCTTTTTCAGACATTTTTTTTTTGTCAATTCATACATGTGATTTTCCTGGATGAATTTTAATGTCATCCTGATAATTTCATATCCTTCCTTAATCTTCTCATAGTTTCAGAATTCAGGCCGAAACCAATAGGTATATGTGGAAACACGTGTATCTGTGTGTTTATGTGATGCTTATGGAATTAAATGTTTATAATTTTAAGAGTAAACAGTTACACAGAGAGAAAAATCATTCTTAATCTCACCATCATAAAGTAACCACTGTCTACACGGTGATGTGTTTCTTTTTGGTCTTGTCCCTCCTGCGTGAGGTTTGCTTTGGTAGAAGTGATGCAAGTGTCCATGCGATTTGAATTCAGGTTGTTTTCTTGGATGACATTGAGGCTAATCTGAAGCCGGCCCGTGACTTGGGAATGGTCACCATCCTCGTCCGCAACACCACCACGGCCCTGCAAGAGCTGGAGACTGTCACTGGAATGAAGGTAACTATACATCTGTGCCGAGTGGGACATCCGATCACTCCTCTGTGTTTAGGTGCAAAAGACTAAAGAAGTGAGAGGAGAACCTGGTGTTTGGGGAGTTCATTGCTCCAAGTGTGGACTTCTTGGATGGAAGTTCACTACCCATTGTGCAATCAGTGTGATGTCCTTGAAAATCTTGTTTCTTTTTCTGCGGTCAATGAACAGAGAAATGGTTCTCAGAGAGCAAAAATCCGTACTCGTCAGAGTGGGGGGCATCAAGATGAGAGTAGGGCTTTCAGAGCCACCCAGGTTGGCTTTTTTAGAGTAAATCTTGAGAATTTAGCTGCAGGTCTGCCCTCGTGCAGGTAGGGAACACAGTCCTTACCTGGACATGCCGCTAGCGCTCAGGTGTAATTGTTTGATCCTTCCTAGTTCACATCCTGTGGCAGTTGGAGGGAAGCCTGGCTTTTATTAAGGAAAACCTGTCCTTCCTGTGAAGGAGGATGGGATGTTCTTAACGATGCACCTGGGAGCTGTCTGGGAATCGGCCTGTTCTGCCAGAGTTGAGTCACCTTTTGTTCTTTTGAGTTTACCTAAGATCACCCATCCCATTGAGTCCAGGAGCGAAAGTTACACAAGCCTTTTTGCTGTACTACTGTGCTTTGCTAAGGGTTGGTGTAAAGGGGGATGAGGGGGGAGGGTGCCCATACACTTGATTGGGCTGGATGGACTTCAAAGGCATTACAACCGTTTTGTCAAAGGGAACTGTATTAGTTTCCTTGGGCTGCCGTAAAGGAGCACTGACTGGGTGGATGAGACAACAGTTTCACTAGGAAACTGGAAGCCCGAGATTAAGTTGTCAGCAGCGTTGGTTTCTTCTGAGGCCTGTCTCCTTGGCTTGGAGATGGCCATCTTCTCGCTGTGTCCTCTTAGGGTCTTCCCTTGTGTGTGTCCTAATCTCTTCTTGTAAGGACACCAGTCAGATTGGATTCTGACTCCAATTGTCCCTCTCCAATGACCTCATTTAACCTTAAGCACCTCTTTAAAGACCTTATCTCCAAATACAGTTGCACTCCGAGGTCCTGTGGGGTTAGGACTTCAACAGAAGGGGACACAACTTAGTTCAGAACAACTGACACTTTGTCTTTAACAAATAAATAAAAATGTGTGTCTAATAACCTCATAACCTTAAAGCACCTTGCCTAAGCTTGTTGTGTCCAACAAGCCTGGAAGTCTTACCCAGCTGAGGTGAAAACACCCAGACTTGGAATCAGAGCATCCACCTGTTTGTCCTACTTACCACATTTGTCCCCTCATCACATCTGAGCCCAGATACCTGTCCTGTAAAATTGGGAAAGTAAGCCATGTTTTAACCTATCTTCTTCTCAGGAGTATGGGGAAGATATAAGGAAAAATGAAAATAAATCCTTTCTAAGCAGAGAAGACATGTCTCTTATCTCTCAGGAAGGCGGTGGGACTCAGTCATGAATGGGCTTTGTCAATTGTACAAACACACGGGAGAACCATTAGAGTAGGAAACCCCCACCCTCTTCACCAAGGAAGCAGTGGGACATCCCTGGTATGTGACCAAGGAAGTTGGGGACATATCAGAAGGGCCCCAAGGGTCACTGGCCCTTGGTTGGTGTCCTGGCTTCCTCTGGCCAGACAAGGCTCATTGCCATTAGAGGGCACCAACCTGCCTCCCCCCAGGCCTACCACCACACCCAGGGTCCTCTCCAGACACCACAGAGATGGGGGACTCCCCTTCTCTTTTCTCCTCTGAGGACATCTAGGCAGACTCTCCCATGTTTAAAAGGGAGGTGGAGTTCGTAGTTTACTTCTCCCATTGTAGAGATTAGAATACTGGGTTGCCGTGGAGAGCTATGTCTTCCTTAGGTTGCACGTGGGGACTAAAGATGAGAAATCAAGCAGTAGGAATCACTAAGCTGTTGTTCCTCATGAATACAGTCACGTGTGTTCAGCATCCTGTCCTTTGTCATTTCTGGCTTGAGGAAGCCAACACTGATAAGTTACAGAGCCCATTAAGGACACTTTGCTCAGGAATATTCCTCTTAAATGTCATACAGAGATGGGTTACCTAAACTTGTGGGACTCCAGAGAACAGAACTGGGACCTTTAGGCAGAAGGCGATCAGCTGAATTGTGTCTGCTCCTCCCCAAATTTGTATGCTGAAGCCCTAACCCATAGGACCTCAGAACTGTGACTGTAATTTTAGATGGGTCCTTTACCGAAGTAGTTAAGGTAAAGTGAGGTCATGTGGGTGGGCCCTGATCCCATCTGACTGGTGTCCCTGGAAGAACAGGAAATTAGGAAACAGACACATCCAGAGGGAAAGCCATGTGAGGACCCACCAAGAAGGTGGCTGTCTTCAAGCCAAGGAGAGTCCAACCCTGCCAACACTTTGGTCTTGGACTTCCAGCTTCCAGGACTGTGAGAAAATAAATTTCTCTTGTTTCATTCACACAGTCTATGGTACATTGTTACGCCAGTTCTAACAGACTAATGCGAAGACACAGAGAGTTTGATTTTGGCTGACTTGAAGGAAAAACTCTTCAACAGAGCCATACAATGATGGGATGGCTGCTCTGTGAACCCTGTGTTCCTGGCAGTGTCTGTCATGAGCCTGGGTGACCACAGGAGGAAGTGCCGTAGAAAAGAATTATATTAATTAAAGCCCCAAACATCAGTGTTTTAGAGCAAGTGCTGTTTATTTCTTGCTTATGTAAAGTTTAGTTGGTCCTGCAGCCATTCAAGGACCCAGGTTGATGGAGGACCCACCGTCTTCTCCCTATGGTTTCCAAGGTCACACAGGACACTCAGCTGGAAAATGGGGGGAATGAGAATGTAGAGGATTGTGGGGATTTTCATGGGCCAAGCTGACAGGCCATACTCTTCTGTTTGCATTTTGTTGGTCAGAACTCAGTCATGGGACTCCACGGACTTAAAAGGAAAGTGAGGGAATGAAGTCTAGCTATGTGCCTGAGGGAAGAGAATGATGACTTGGTCAGTCACTGATAGGACTCAGGAGGCCATGGCAGAGGTGATCTGTGAGCTCTCTTCTGGGAGCAGTACTCTGGAGTTTTATAAACTTACTCTGAGAATTTTTCTTCATGGAAGGACACTGCAGTCACCTCTCTCTCACTATACCTCTCCCTGTATCTCTCCTTCTTTCCAGCTTCTTGAAACTGCAGCTCCTCTCCCAGCCCCATATAAGCCAAGTGAAATGAGCAATGGGTATGTGCCGATTAAGGTAAGTAAACACACTGTCCCTCGGTCAGCTGAGTACTCTCTAACCAGGTTGCTTCAAATGACTCACAGAGATGTTTGTTCAAAATCAAGGGTAGTTGAATATCCAGTTTACAGGGTAATCGTATTTCCCACAAGTATCATTCATCAAAAATAAATGGACGACATGAACCATGCCTCAGGATATACAAAGCAGTGTGACTGATATGATCAGACTCCCAAGGAACAACAGGCTACACGGGGCCTTGGGAAGCCCAGGGGTGCCAACGTGTGTCCATGTTCTGGTGAGAACATTTGTTTTGCCAACCAGTACTTACCAAGCGCTTCCTTTGTGTCAGGTACGGGCCTGTTAGGAGGGATGCAGTGAACAACAAGACAGACCTGTCCTCAAGGGACCTGCATCAAGGAAAAGGGAGGGAAATGGTCATTAACATGCCCTATGGTCAGGACTGTAGCAAGGCCAAGGCCACATGCCAAAGGGCCCTGACTCCTGACCCGGTCTGGATATAGTACAGGGCTTTAGACTGTCTTATGGATTCACTTTGTGGTCTTTTCTCATTTGTCACTGGCCCCATTTAAATGAGCAGGGGCCTAAAACTAAGGGTCAGCTCACAAGCAAGACAAGTCCGAACAGTTGCTTTGGAGCCAGACAGAATCAGATAGAACCAGTCTGAATCCTGGCTTTGGGATTTAGGAAGTTTGCAAATTTAGGGACATTTCTTATCACTGTGAATGCCAATGTTCACAGCATTATAATAGGATGATGATAATACAGTTGACCCTTGAACAGTCCTGGGGTTAGGGGCACAAACCTCCACATGGTAGAAAATCCATGTATAACTTTTGACTCCGCAAAAACAACTATAGTGGGCTCTTTGCATCCACAGATTCCCAATTGTGGATGGAAAAAGTTGACTCTTGAACAGCATGGGCTTGAACTTCGTGGGTCCATTTATATGTGCAGTTCAAACCCATGTTCAATGGTCAGTTGTACTCCCCTCAATGTTCTTGTAAGAATTAGTTGAAATACTGCATGTAGACCATGGTCATAGTACCTGATACCTCCACACTCCATAAACAGTAGCTGATAAAAAGGAGAGCTGGCCTGAGCTATGCAGGTCTAGAGACTCTGGGAAGACCTGCTGACCTGGAGGATAACCCCACAAATATTTATTGAGTGTTTGCTATTGGTTGGGCACTGAGAGAAATACTGAGATGAGTAGAGGGTCTTCCATGACCTGGTGGATTTTATGGTCCTCTGAAATAAACATTCACAGCTCCTGTGGTTACATCACAGGATGAGGTCCATGCCCTGGAGCGCTCAGAATGGGCTCAGTGAAGATGGAGGCAGTAACCATAAATGCTGGCAGTGGGGCTCAGCCCCCACGGTGAAGTAGGCATCAAAGGATGAGTGGGAGTTGGAGGGTAAGAGAGGGCTTCTTTGCTACTGGAAGCTACAGGTCAGTGTAGCCCCTCCTACAACCCTAGGTGCCCTTAAAGCGGGTGAGCATTTCATAAAAGTCTCTTCAGACCTCATCTCTGTATTGATGAGGAGTGAGGGGCTCTTTGCCTGGGGCTGGGGTTTGGGCTGTAATCTTGTGTCTTCAACCCCATGGACAGTTATTTTTGTAATAATCTTTTTTTTTTAAAAGATTTTTATTGGGAATTTGGGGGATGGGAACAGTGCTGGGGAATTGGGGGAAGGGGAACAGACAAGTTGCTGTCCTTTTGTTCTTCAGTCTAGTTGTGGAGGACATTGCTTCACTGGCCCAAGTTGGCACCATCATTGCGCTCTTCCCGGCCGAGGCAGATCAGTCGCCGGCTCCTGGACGGCTGCTCACGGCTGCTTGAGGGCCACTTACGCTGGCTGCTGGCTACATATGGTAGCCCATGGCAACTCACTGCAGCGGGGGCTGCAGCCTACGCCGTCGCCAGCGACTCACGGCAGCCCAGCTCCAGGTTGAGCTGTTGTTCAGCATCTTAGCTGTAGAGGGCAGTGTCACTGGCCCTCATATGTGGGATCCGAACTGGGGCCCTCTGGCGTCCCAAGCCAGTTCTTAACCATTGCACCACTCAGCCGGCCCTTATTTTTGTAATCATTTTGATGCTTGCATATCCAGCCAGTTTCAATAGATTGCACATTTGACCTTAAAGGAGGGTGATGAGAACTGCTTTATCACCCCTTCTGCCCCCACCCTAAATTCAAGAGCTGGGGCAATGACTCTGGGAAGCCCCAGCTGAGCCCAGGCTCTGGGGGTGCTGTTGCATTCATCTCTACTGGATGCTCATACAACCCAAACTGAGCTGGTAATAGATCGTTCTCATTTTCTGGCTTTATGGCAATTTTATTAACATATCATTTAAAGGAATGAGAAAGTACATGCATTTGCCACACTAAGCTGAGTCAAATATGAAGCAGCAGAGTGAGCTTTTTAGTTGGGATCCACTTACAACAGAGGCAGAGTAGGCTCATTTGATTGGACATCAGCACTATAAAGTTTTCAGTATAAGGAGTGTGAAATTTAAAGTTAAACTTCCCCCTTTACCAGGTACTCAAGGGAGGACTCTGGAACATATTCTGATAAAAATAGAAGAGCCCACGAAAGGGCTTTTGAAAGGTCAGCCTAATGTTTTCTTGAGCAAAAAAGCCCTTTGGAAATCATGACTGAAACATCCAGTTTGGAACACCAGCGTGGAGGAGTCTGAGATACAGCGAAATAGAATTGTTCTGAGTGCGTTTCTGTCATGGGAAGCTTATTTTTCTCATTCATGTCCATTAGAAAGATGGAGGCATGTACTTTTGGGAAGACTAGAGCCCCTTGACACTCTTGCTTTAGTTCTTTTGATTACACCCCATTCTAATAGTCAGGGGAGGCTTAGTACTTACAGTCACAAACAGCCCCAGCTTTCAGCGGCTTAATGCCAAGTCTGTTTCTTGCTGCAGCTTAGTCCAGTGTGGATTAGGAATGAGCCCTGTCCACGCACTCGTTCAAGCACCCGTTCTCCTTCCTTCTGCTGGCCCCACCTTCCTCAAGGCCCAGTCCATTCAGCAGCATGCCGGCAAAGAGAGGGAGGACCAAGCCTGGGAGGCTCCGGGATGTAGCACGTGGTTTTTTTTCCACTTAGATGCCATTGGCCAGAACTCAGTCATGTGGCCACACCCACTGCAAGGAAGTGGGGGGCGGTCTGGAAAATGGCACCTTGTGCCAGGGAGAAAAAAAGAACAGATTCTGAACCCTAGCAGCCTCTGCCACACCCATGAAGCCCAGAAAGAATAAGAAATGTAGCAAAGTTTGAAAGAAATTTCATATTCAAGAGATAAACTGCCTTTAATGAACTAAGCATGGTATTCTTCACGTTAGCATACATATTATGCTCTGCACAAAATGAGCCTCCAGGTTTAAATATTGAAAGCATGACAGACTTCACCAGATGCTGCCAGTATGAGGGTCTCTTAGGGAGGAGGCAAAGTTATTTTGTTCTGTTTTGTTTTCTGACATTATAATCATCTTTTTCAGGCTTCTTATGCCACAGTGAAAGCCACCTGTTTTTATTGTACAGTTTGACCAGTTGTCTCTTCTCAGACATCTTCGTTGGGATCTTAGGCTGAGAAAGCTGGGTCATGTGAGATCTAGTATACTGAAATGGCCCGGACGGTCTACAGAGGAGGGGCCTGGTTCGACCCAGCCTGATGCTCTGGTCACTTTCTGCTCACCTCTCTCTCCAGCCTGGAGTGCATCTGCATTTTGTGGAGCTGGGCTCTGGTCCCGCTGTGTGCCTCTGCCATGGATTTCCTGAGAGCTGGTTCTCTTGGAGGTACCAGGTAAGGGAAACTCGGGGAAAGTATGTCCCAGTCAGGGTGAGGTGAGGGGAAAGTCTAGATGGTGTGGCCCAGCCTGAATGTCATCCAGAAGCCAAAATCTTACAGTGGAGCATTGTCTTCAAAGTAGGACCACGATACTTCAGAAATGTTGGTGCCAGAGATTACTCTAGACCTCAGAGCTGTGCTAGCCCATATGCCACCTTTGCAGATTCAACAAAGGAAAACTTCAAGATACTCTACGCCACCTGCTAGGAAGTCTTTGTAATGATTATTGAAATCTGCAAGGTCTTTGTTAGGAAAGATGCTCTCTCAGATGTGGCATTCGATGCAGTGCACAAACCTTACCACCATCCATGGCAGCCCTATTTGGGTGGGCTCGTTCTAGTCCCATGGTAAAGATACCAGATGGTGCCATGTGGCACTTTAGATGGAACCATTTGCAAAAACGGGGATAGAAGAAGCAAAGAAGGAGTGTCAGCCAAACACTGATGAGACCGCACTGGAGCATGTCTGAATTGTTTGTTTTCTAGATTCCTGTTCTTGCCCAGGCAGGCTTCCGGGTACTAGCTCTGGACATGAAAGGCTTTGGAGAGTCATCTGCTCCTCCTGGTGGGTTAGCTGTCTTATAGCTGTCCTATGTTGGTCATGCTTTCTAACTCTCTGAGCTCTCCAATTGCACTGTCTTCCTCTGGTCCCAGCTCAGAGCAAGCCGTCCTTCAAGGGAGTCTTACTTTGCCTCACCCCTCTCCCGCAGTGTCCCATGTCTATGCAGTTTGGGTCCCAATGTCTGTGTTCATCATACTCTGAATGAATACAAAAAACCCGATGGCCTGTGCCCCAACGGTGTCTCCTGCTGGCTGGTGGGGTTGTACAGTATAGGATGAATCTTACAGCCCCAGGACGTTTTTCATCTTGCAGAGCTGAAACTCTGCACTGATTAAACACTAACTCCCCAGCCTTCCTTCCCCCAGCCCCTGGCTACCACCCTCTGCTTTCTGTTTCTCTGACTACTCTAGGTACCTCATGTAAGTGGGTCATACAGTATTTACGGTATCTTTTTGTGACTGACTTACTTCACTTAGCGTAATGTATTCAAGGTCCATCCATGTTGTAGCATGTGTCACAATTTCCTTCCTTTTTAAGGGTGAATAATATTCCATTGTATGGCTAGGCCACATTTGTTTATCCATTCATCCATCGATGGACACTTGAGTTGCCTCCACCTTTTGGCTATTGTGAATAATGCTGCTATGAACATGGGTGTACAAATATCTGTTTGAGTCTCTCTTTTAAATTTGGGGGGTGGGTGTATATACCCAGAAGTAGAATTGCTAGATCATATGGTAACTTATAGGCCCAATTCTTAACCCAGCCTCTAAGGATTCCTGTGCGAGTCTATCCAAGGAGAGATGTCAGGGGGCCTGTGAGCCCCTGAGACCATGTGTCGGTTTATGAGCATTTTGCTGGGGGAGGGGAGTCCATTGTTTTGATTAGCTTCTGAGGGCTTCTCAGCCCTAAACTGTTAAGAACCCCAGATATGGATGTGAAGCAAGCAGGTGTGCAGCTAAACTCCTGATCTCTCCATGCTGGTAGCAGTGGTGACTTAGCAAGGCAAGCCAGCTGCTCAGCACCCCTTTTCTGAACTGCCTCCCCCATAGTCACATCAAGCCTGTTGTGTTGAGTTTAAAGCCAGCTGACATGAACTAGGGCTCTTGGTCACTCCGGTGACCACCATCCAGGCCACTCAGCCTGTCACAGCAAGGGAGTGCCTCCGTAATTGTCCCCTAAAATGTCATGGTGTCAACTCAGCAGCTGCTTGCTCTCTTGAATGATGCAGCAGCATGTTAGACAAAAGGAAAGCCTTCAGCTCAAACATGCAGGAAAGGCAACTAAGGTTTTTTTTTCCTAATTTAATTATTAAAATGTTTATTTTTATTCATCTATACTGCAATCGTCCCTGAATCCCCTAGGCATAACTTAGTAATATCATTTTTGTCATTCAAATTAGAACACTATTAAAAGTAAAAGAGACACTATTAACAGTAACACACATGAACGTAAACTGTCCTGAACAAACTGGGGCTTATGGTTTTATCCTAATTATAACTTTTTTAAAGAAACCATAATTTATTTACATGTTAACTATTGTTGAAGATTATGAATAACATAAATTCTGAAGCCAAGCATAATGTTTGGAATACATACACATACAGTTCAGATCATTCATGTATAAATTTCATGTCATTCGTTAATGGATTTTAAGTAGGAAATTGTTTTTCCTTAAAATTTTGAAGTCTTTGTCCCACTGTTTTCTAGCTCCCCTTGTTGCTATTAAGAAACCCCATGCCATTCTGATCCATAGCCTTTCTATGTGACCATTTGGGTTTTTTTCACCCTTACCTTTGACACTTTTAGGATCTTTTCTTTATCTGTTGTGGTCTAAAATTGTATGATATTGTACTGTGATGTTGGTCTTTTTTCATCTACTTGGCTGGTGACATTTAGCTTTCCATTCTTGGAAATTTTCTTCAATTATCTTTTTTGATAATTTTTGCTTCTGTTTTCTCTGTTTGACTTACTTGCTTTTTTTTTTTTCCTGAAATTACTATTGTTAAAATGCCCATACTACCTAAAACAAACTTCAGATTCAATGCAATCTCTATCAAAATCCCAATGGTATTTTTTAATAGAAATAGCAAAAACAATTCTATGGTTCATTGTGGGTCAACAGATAGTCAAATTAATCTTGAGAAAGAATAGCTGGAGGACTCATACTTCCTGATGTCAAAATATATTACAAAGCTACAGTCATCAAAACAGCATGGTACTGGCATAAAGACAGACATATAAACCAATGGAACAGAGTAGAGAGCCCAGAAATAACCCCATGCGTATACAGTTAACTGATCTTTGACAAGAGTGCCAAGAACACACAATAGGGAAAGGACAGTCTGTTCAACAACTAGTGCTGGGAAAACTGGATATTCACATGTGAAAGAATGAAATTGGACCCTTATCTTGTACCATACACAAAAATGAACTCAAAAAGTCTTAAACTTAAGACTTAAACTGAAACATAAACTCGTAGAAGATAACATAGGGGAAAAGCTTTATAACATTGGTCTTGGCAATGACTTCATAGATATGACACCAAAACCACCCACAGCAAAAATCAAAATAAACAAGGGACTACATCAATCTTAAAAATTTAATAAGTTTGGGGGGTTTTTTGGCAAACAAGCCCTTTTAGTGTGTTATTTTTAATCATGCAAATTAAATTTCTTTCTTTTATTTTTAATTGCAGAAATAGAAGAATATTCCATGGAAGTGATGTGCAAGGTAAGAAGGATCTCTGGGTAACATCTTTTCCATTCTGGCGTTTTCACTGATATCATCCAGAAGTGTGGGTATTCGTCTAAATCCTAGGAAAGCAGCATTTCACAGCATTTGGGTATAAAGTCTGACTAAAAGTTGAAATGGCATTTCAAAATAATAGCCAACATTTGCTGTATATGAAAAAAATCTGTCCCTAAAAAAAACCTCGATGTGAATGTCCTCAGCAGCATTATTCACAATAGCCAAAAAGTAGAAACAACCCAAATATCCATCAACTTACGAATGGAAAACAAAATGTTTCATGTCCATATAATTAAATATTATTCAGCCGTAAAGAGGTATGAGTACTGATGCATGCTTCCATATGAATGAACCTTGAAAACATTATGCTAAGATAAGCCAGTCACAAAAGGCCACATATTGTATAATTCCATTGATATGGAATATTCAGAATAGCAAATCCATAGAGACAGAAATTAAATTAGTGGTTCCCAAAGGCTCGGGGGAAGGGCAAGTGGAGAATAACTGCTAATGGGTACAGGGTTTCTTTTTGGCGTGATGAAAATGTCTGTTCACAACCCTGTGAATACACTAAAAATGACTGAATTATACATTTTAAAAGGATGAATTTTATGGTGTATGAGTCATAGATTAATAGCACTGTTATTTTTTTAAAAATCAGCCATACAATATTTTTAATGTAAAATTTTATTTAAAATAACCTCGTATTATTTTTAAACATTGGGTTACAAAAAAACTAAATCAAGGTCCTTACTACTTCTTACCCTCAAGCACCCACCACAACGTTTTTCCCAGGAACAGTTCCCAAATATCATGAAAACTCTTTTTTCTCAACCACAATTCCCCAGATCTGTGTGCTAGTTTATCATACAACTGTTACTTGTTTTAGAATGGGTTATCTTTAAGGAACCGTAAACTTATTCTCTGTATGTCTTAGGATTCCAAATTAGGAATGTTGGAATGCTACCTAGCAATAATGATGTCCTCTACAGTTCATTAATGTCCGGAGGCTTATCTATACCCAGTGGTCCCTTTCCTTGTCTGTGATCTTGGGGAAGTCATTTAAATTAGCTAGTCAGGTATAAAATACAGTCCATGCTCTCCAAAACCCCTCCAGATCTGAGCACGTTTCTCCGTTTGTGGGATGTGGAAATAACACTGAACTAATCTCTGGCCTCTCGGAGGTTAATTGGAAAGTGAAAACAAGTGGCCTGCAGGCAGTCAAGCAGGATGCTTCATCCTTGGAGTACAGACCCTCAGGGATCCATGAACTCCTGGCAACATGTGTAGAATTTGAGGCAACGGTGCCCATGAGTATTTTCCTGGGAGAGGACCCATGGTTTCCATCAGATACTTGGAGAGGTCTGAAGAGACAGAGGAATCACTGTAGCTGGGGAACAGGAGTGGGAGATACTCATATTACAACATAGCCTGTCCTCTGTCCTCTTTCTCTTTGAAGTTCCCTGAGATCAGGGGTCTTGTCTATTTTGTTCTATGCTGTACCCCAGTGCTTAAACAAGCACCAGGTCCATAGTTGGCTCTGAGTGAATTTTAATGGGGAGGGACAGATGAGGGAGCTCATTAGGTCGTGTGTCGGTGATGGAGGTATTTGGGAGGGGAGGATTGGAAGGGTAGGTGCTTCTTACTGGCAGGATGAGGGGATTGTGATGTATCCAGGGGCCATTCCACTCTTCTTGTCTGGCCATACAGCAAAGCGCACTGAGCGGAAAGTTTTCCGGTAGGTGGTTACATGGGTAGGACCCCGAAAATGTCTGTGGATCCAGGCCTTTCTCTCTGGAAACTATTTCCCTAGGACCTGGGACCTTTCAGGGAGCTGTGAGAAGAAGGCCATTTCTTACTAGAAATGAAATTTTGGATGGCCCCGGGAGCCGTACAAGATTCTGGCTGCCCTGGAATTATTGACCTTGATTCCATTTTGGCCTCTAAGCAGCATCTGGAACTTGCTGAAAAGCAACAGCCATTCTAGTCGTTGTAGCTGGCCCAAGGTTCTGCACTTCACACCCTTTTGAGATCCATAACCTTGAGGACTCTCTCTTACATCGGTCTGTTGGTTCTTAGATCTTCATTGAAAACCTCGTGTGTGCTGCCCACTTTGGTAGGCATGTTAGGGAGTCCTGGGAAACCCTCAGCTATGTTCCTCATTAGCGCTTATATTAATTTCCTAGGGCTGCCATAACGAAACACCATAGACTGGGTTCCTTAAGCAGCAGAACATATTTTCTCTGAGTTCTGGAAGCTGGAAGTCTAAGCTCAGGATGCCAGCGTGGTCAGGTTCTGGTGAGGGACCCCCTCCTGGCTAGTTGGTGACCGTCTTCTCACTGTGTCTTCACATGGCAGGGAGAAAGTGAGCTCTTTGGTTTCTCTTCTCATAAGGACACTAATCCTATTGGATCAGGGCCCCACCCACATGACCTCATGTTACCTTAATTACTTCCATAAAGACACTATCTTCAAAAATAGTCACAGTGGGGATTAGTGCTTTAACAGGAACTTTGAGGGACACAAACTTTCAACCCATAACAGAGGGTTAAAAAGACCTCTTGACACCGTCCAATAATTGTTCCCCTCTCTTTGGAGGGAAAGATGAAAATAAACCAATGAAATAATTACACCAATACTCTGTGCCTCCATCTTAAAAAAATAAATTGTGTGCATGTTAACGAGTGGAACCTGTCATCCGTGCTTTTCAATGTCCCTGTTGGAGAGCAGTGAGGGACTTGGCCATTGGTCCCCCACCAAGCGAGGCTGTCACTGTGGCCCTGGGTGTTCAGGGCAGGTGTGGGGCAGGGATAGCGAAAGGAATCAGAACGCTGTTAACACACTTTCCTTTTGGAGCCATCACGTGTTGCAGGCAGACCTCTGTGTGTTCCCATTTCCCCCAAAACAGTTATCCATACTGATAACTTCCCCCAGCAGAACTGAGGCCTGGGTGGGGGATATGTGAACTCTTTTTAATGCTCTTTGGGCAGAGAATACAAGAGCGATGGGAGAGCCCTTTGTCTTATCCCTGTCTCCTGCTGTCCTGAGAGCTTCATCTCCTTGCTTAACGTAGAAGAACCAAAAGCTAGGCCTGCCTTAGGGGGGAAAAAATCGCCCTTCATTTTGGAAGCACCTTAGAGCAATAGGTGACTGAAATACCATCACATATATTTTTGCAGGTATAATCTCTTGCAGCTCCCAGTGAGGAGTGACTTCCCACTTAACTGGGAAATCAAAAACAGATTAGGATGCCTTCTCAATTGGTAGAAAGAGGGGAGGATTCAGGAGGCTGGAAAACACTTAAAATAAAGCTGTTGGTCTACATAGTAAAAAAGAATGGCTTTGAATGTTTGTTTTTTTATTGTTAGTTTCAGGTTTACAGAACAATGCAATAGTTACCCTTTTCACCCTCACAAAGTAACAACCCCCTCCCCCATCTATTGCCCTCCCACCCCCGATATCATGCTTATCTATTACAATTCCATTGACTCCGTTCCCGCTCTCTACTCCATGTCCCGAGACTATATGTATATATAATTATAGTTGACATACTATATTATTCAACATCAGCTTCAGAAATACAATGCGGTGGTAAGGCCTCTACACCGACTATGAAGTGGACTCCCCAACAGGACATGGGTCCATCTGGCCCCCTAAGAAATATTTACAACATTATTGATTGTATTCCTCCGACTGTCTTTTTCTATCCCTGAGGCCATATTGCAGTTACCAATTTGTTTTGATTGTGAGTTTTTGAAATCAGATAGACCTGGGATCCGTCCCAGTTCTGCCTCTACCAGCCGTGTGGTCTTGGCGGGCACCATTTAACCCGTCTGAGCCTTAGTTTCCTCATCCGTAGAGTGGAAATACCACTTGCCCCCTGTAGCTCCTAATGAGGGAAAGGAAATGGCGAAAGGAGAAGCATTGCACACAGCACCTGTGTTGAGTGAGGGCTCCATAAATGCAGCTCTGCAGACTTTGTTATTCTGACAAGAAAATGCCCCTTACCTTGGCTCAGGTAAATACATATAGGGTGGTGTGATAAGTTACATGGGAGTCTTTTAGGAAGAGTGAGGCTGGGAAATAGGAAAGCCCATGTGGCTCTCTGCAGGGGCTGAATGGCCTGTGGAGGGAGTCTCTGATTCATTCCCTCCAGGAGTCCACTGTCTCCTCCCCTCCACCCCTTCCCAGCAGGGTTCCCTGGCTTGCTCATTTTGCACATGCCCAGTACAGCTGCCTCAGCCCCGATTCTAGGCTGACCCTTCACCTCCAACCCCAGCACCTCAGAATGTGACTGCATTCAGAGGTACTTCTCACACATCTCAGACGCTGTTTTCAGACCCTGTGGCTGCTGGCCAGCGTGGCCAGGTGTCTGTGTCTGTGCTGAGGGCGGGGGCACAGGAGCTTACCATCCTGGGGCAAGAGAAGCAGCCAGACCTCTCCAGAACAGTTTTCTTCCCTTTTCTCCCTCCAGGGAGAAAGCCATGGTTTCTGTCTTACAATGAACATGGCCTCATTAAGGATGTATACTATAATAACACACACACTGAATAATTGACTGTGCACGTTTGGGGTCAACCTGGTTTCTGTGAGGATGCTGGAATGGGAAGGGAGAGAACTCAAACATTGGTGAAACGACTGAATGTCATGTTCGTTTGCTCGGGCTACCATAACAAAATACCAAAGACTGAGTGTCTAAAACAACAGAAATGTATTCCCTCGCCATTCTGGAGGCTAGAAGTCAGAGATCAAGGTGTCAGTATGGTTCCATCTGAGGCTTCTAGATGAGGCTTGTAGATGGCTGTCTTCTCCCTGTGTCTTCACATGGTCTTTCCTCTGTACGTGTCTGTGTCCAAATCCCCTTTTCTTATAAGGACACCCGTCATTTTTGATTAGGGCCCACCCTAATGACCTCTTTTTAACTTAATCACCTCTTGAACGACCCTACCTTCAAATATAGTCACATTCTGAGGTCCTAGGGTTTCGGCCTTCAACACATGGATTTTAGAGTGATACAATTCAGTCCATAACAAAGGCAGACACAATAATTCTAATTTTGAAGCAGTGGAGGTGGGTGGATACAATTTCTAATTTGTGCGTGTGTGTGTTTTTTCTTAGGAGATGGTAACCTTTCTGGATAAGTTGGTAAGTAATAATTTTGAACTGATCTCTTTAGAGAATTCTGTTTGGGCCTGATAATTAAAGACAAGATGTGAGGCTCTGAAGGCGTCAGCTGTTGGAACCTTGAGGGGCATAGCAAGGGCAGGGAAAGGCCCACTGTGGGGCCCTGGGAGGCGGGGGGTTGGTCAGGAGGGATTGCGAAGATGGGGAGGGCAAAGTGTTTGGAGAACATTGTAGACGAGTTTGTTTTGGTTTTTGTTTCATGAAAAGTGTTTCTTCCAGGGAATAGGATACCTGTATTGACCTGAGTCTAGACATTTGGAAAATATCCTGTAGGCTCATATTTCACAACTTTTTAAACCTCCCATTTCTTCTGAAATCTCTAAAAGTGAATGTCTTCATTTAACATTGTTTGGAATGTCAAACTCAAACCGAATCAACAACGGTGATCTGTGACTATGCTTGTGCCAAGCACACGTACTATTCCTGACATTGCAAGTGGGTAACACCCTCCGCCCAATCCTCAGTTAGGTCGCAGTGCAGAATGAAAACACTGCAGCACGGACTGGGGTCGCAGGATGGGGTGGAGGGGGGCACAGGGAGGGCTAAGCCAGGACAGTGAGAGTGGAGGGGTAGCTAAGAAAGGACCTCAAAACAACGGTATTTCAAACAAACAAACAAAACCAAAAAAAGCAGTGGGATTTATTGCCTGTCAATTGCATGTGACTCAAGAATCTCAGATGACTGAGCTCCAGTTCAACAGCCAGGCACCATGCCAGGCACTAGTCAAATGAGGTGAAGATGTCATGGTCCCTATCCTCTGCAAATTCTCAGTCCCCTGGAGTTGGTGTTGGAACTTTTGAGTATGCTGGGGACATCTAAGGACAGGGCCCAGTGTGGCCACCCCAGCCCTGATGCTATAATGGGCTATCTAGAAGATGTCCAACTGGCTGAGAACCTCTCATTCTGATTATTGAAAGGGTCTCTGTAGTTGCTGGCCAGCTGGGTGGGGTGTCCATCTCCAGCCCAGTCCTTACTGGGACCCAAAGCAAGGAGGCTGGGCCAACTGCTGATGAGGTGGGGTAGTTGAAGCTATTAGAGTAGATGAGCTCCCCCACGACAGGCCTGAGGGCGGAGCTGTGAAATTGTCATGTAAGAGATGGAGAAGGGAGTAAACTCAGTAAAGTAAGAAAAGAGTCTGAAAAGCACAGTGTCCCAGAAGCCGAAGGACGAAGGTGTCAAAAGAAATGTCTGATGCTGCAGAACTGGCAGAAGAGTGAGAGCCGAGGGGGAAAAAGCTCCTATTAGTGATTATTAGCCTTTAAGAGGGACGTTTCCATGGACGCCGCGGTAGGAGGGAATAAGCCAGGCTGCAGGGACTTAGGAAGGTCGTTGGGGAGACATGTGGCGTAGACACCGTGAGAAGGGGGAAACAGACAGGAGCAGAAGAATGGTGGGAAGTGAGTCAGGAACCGCTTTTCCAGATGGTGGCGAGGCGGGAGAGGAACTGAAAGGCCTGAATGTGGCAGAATGGGGCCACCAGGGTAGGGTAGAAGACAGAGCCCAATTTTAGGGTGGGAAGACCTG